AAGACAGGTTGAGAATGATTCGAGACTAATCACAGTTAATATGAAAGTTATTGCGAGTGTTTGAAGTGAATTTCAATTAGGGTTTACGAAACGAGAAAGTGGGAAAGAGAAAATGCAGCCAAGAGACGTGAAAGATTGAAGGAGATTATGATATGGGGACACATTATAGATAATATAATAATAAAATACCAGTATCAATATCAATATAGTAAAGATTTCTGTATAGAGTCTACAAGTGTGAAAGAGATAGAGAGATAGAGATGCAGAGGAGTTGGAATTATTAATTGAAATGCCTATCGAGGCGTAATTCAAATTGAAATACCTATGAAGGAGCTACTCAATATATGTATGTGTATGATTCAGACTCTGCTCAAAGCTCCGCGGAGCCAAACGTCGTGAATCGTCCTGGTCGGCTTTTGAGTGTAAATCAATATGCTTGTCGGCTTCTAAACTAATTAAAACATCTTCTTCTGTGCGCGCTTTGTGTGCCGCCGAAAAAAAGCTTTTGTTTGCTCCACAGGATATGGCCCAGGCACAGAGAGTGACAGAGAGAGAGAGAGAGAGAGAGAGAGAGAGAGAGAGAGAGAGCGAGAGTTTGAGCTCTGCCGGAACTAAAAGCCAAGCAACAATGCAGAGGCAGAGAACATGTCATAAACTAGCGCTAAAAGGACGCCACGCTGTGTCTTTGTTCGGGACTGGGTAAACGGCAGTCGGGAGTCGGAGTCGGAGTCGGGTCGGGTTGGGTCTGAAATTATGACAGGCTCAACTCAGGTCGGCCGTCTGATGTCTGGCGAAATCCTGCACAGGCATATAATTAGGGTCTGGCCAGGGGGAGCTCGCTGCGCTAGGGTTTGCCGTTGCGTCGTCGTTTTTTTTTTCGTTTTTCGTTTTTCGTTTTTAATTGAATTAAAGCTTCCACACGGCAGATGCATTGCATTGGCATTAGTTTAGGCGCCGCTATCAATATCCTTGAGCGCAGCAGGAGTTTTCATTTTAATTATAATGCATTGCCCCGAACGAGTGAACGACTGAGCGAGCGCAATTAAGTGCTTATCGCAATCGAAATTGATTGAATTGCATGAGACATGGAAAGCGATTGGCAGTGGGAATGCTTATGCAATAGGTATAATTGCAGCTCTAGATACTTTTCGAGCGATTCGCGCTGCCATTTCCCCATAGACTCCTTTCGGGGCTAGTTAGCCAAAGAGCACTTAGCCAATGGCCATAAACGGTTTTCCAATTTGTTTGGCCACAAAACCCGAGACAGAGTCAAAGCCCAAACGGAAGTATTGCTATGCATATTTCTCAACAATAAACGTGTAATGGACAAGCCACTCACTATCTCTCTCGCTCTCCCGCTTGCTCTTCGTGTGCGTAGCAAAAGTTGGCAACAGTTTTATTAAGCTGCTGAACTCTTGTGTGTTAAAAGTCAATTTTCCAATTTGCAAACTGTCAAAAACATTCGAAAAGCAATTTGTGCACACACACACAGGGAAAGAGAGGGAGAGAGAGAGCGTGAGAGAGAGAGAGAGAGGTAGAACGAGAGAGTACAAGCCAAATTGCGTATACGCCTTGTATGCTGCTTTTGCTTTTTGGGCGACGACACTTTGCGGCAGAAGTTTTCCAATAAAATGGCAAAACTTTGCTGCGAACAAAATTAAAGACGACGAAAGAGGAGGAAGAGCAGCAGGAGAAGGAGACGGAGCAGGAGCAGGAGCAGGAGCGGCTGTACATGGAGCAGCAGCATAACGTGCGCTGTGGGCTTTGGGCCCTTTGCTTTTTGGGGGTTGATGCGACGCTGGCGACGCTTGTGACGCTTGTGACGCTGTTGACGCTGGCAGCGCTGTTGGCGACGCAAATTGTTTGCTGCCAATGTGAAGTTTATGAAAAAGATTAAAGTTGAAAAGTGGTTGACGAGGCGCACGGCATGAGGCGGGCGGCGTGGGGGCGTGGCAGCTGTTGCGGCCAGGCGCGTGCTCTCAGCTTGGCATCATCCCAGCATCCCAGCTCCAGCATCATATGAATGGCAAATGCTGGAGGCATTCGCTTGGGTCTGCTGGGTTTTTGGGCGGGCTAGCACAAAATGTAGCAAAATTGAAAATGGCTGAAGCATGTGTATGTGTGTGTGTGTGTGTGTGTGTTTGTATTTGTTGTCTATGGGGTGGAAAATTGAGTTTGGTTGAGTGGGAGTGAGAGAGAGAGAGAGAGAGAGAGAGAGAGAGAGAGAGAGAGAGAGAGACTGCACGCCCAGTCGAGCAAAACAGCCAAAGATGAAAGCAGACAATTTGCCAAAGCTCATAATGAAGTTGTTAATGATGTTGATGATGCTGTTGATGTGGCTGATGGGCGTGCCAGCCTTCAATATATACAAACACACACATACACATGCACGCGCTGCCTCTTGCTGGCTACTCTTGGCCCCCTCTCTCTCTCTCTCTCTCTCTCTCTCTCTCTCTCTCTCTAGCGGTCGCTCGCTTTGTGGCGCTTATGACGCACCATGAATGGAAATTACAAAATTGATTTTGATGATTTAATTAAAATGAAGAAGCACAAACTCAAATTATAACAGTCGGCGTACAGCAGCTAGGCAGCCAGCCAGCCAGGCAGAGAAGCAGGCAGCGAGGCAGGCAGAGAGGGAGGCTGCAAGGCAGCCAGGCATTGGCTCAGGCTTTGCTCTTCGTCTGCTTCCACAGCCAAATGTCAATATTCATTTAACATTTGAAGCTTCTACTCAATGTGTATATGTGTGTGTGTGAGTGTGGGTGTGTGGTTGGGGGCCAACTGTGGCCTAGAGCTGCTAACTTTAATTTATTTTCTTCGTACAGATTTGAGCGACAGGAAATTAGACTTTGAGACAACTCTGTGTGTGTATGTGTGTCTGCTCGAGTGTGTGTGTATATGTGTGTGTGCGTTAGCTCCTTGAGCTTTGTTATTTCTGCCTCTCGACTAAGCTAATTGATCTGTTTTTCTTTTATTATTATTAACAAATGCTTTGCAGCCATATATTGGCAGCGCTTACTGAATGGAATGGAAGTACTTACAGACCTTTATACTATGAATTAAGAGTGCTGCGTGGTGTGCCTTAGTGTGCGAAATAGAACAGCAGACAATTTGAAATACTTTCAGCTGTTGCTTCTGAAGAAAATAATTGATCGAGTAAACTAAATGCTGTAAAGTTTTTTAGCTATATATTTTACTGCTCATCCAAATTTCTTTGAATTAGTTATATGATATTAAAGAAAATATTTCTGTATGGCTCCTTTCCTAAACAGATAGGCTTGCAAAGGTTTTTTCGTTGAAATTCAGACCTATTATTATTGATGAATTAGGCCTGCAATATTATGAAAATGTTTAAATGTGTGGATTCGGTTCACTGCAGTTCACTGCAGCATCCTATCAATTAACGATATTAGCTTTTATCACTTATATTTATACAGATATCATCGCAAAGCGCCAGAGCGAGATCCTTAAATTATTTGTTGCCTACTTTTTGGAGCTGCATAAAATTTATAGCGAATCATTGTCATTCAGCCGATTTATTATTAAGGGCCCACCGAGTGCCAATTAGCGAGCAGCCTCGATGGCTTTAACAGCTTAATTACTTTGCTAAAGCGCTGTTTGACTCGCGGAGAAAAACAAGAAATTTTCACTTTCTGTTTGCATTTGCCAACAACATGTTCCCTAACAGAGCAGCCAAAGGGATAGATAGAGAGAGAGAGGGAGAGGGAGACAGATGGAGGCGGCTGCTGCGGCTGCTGCTGCTGTTGCAGCACGCTCTGCAAATTTGTAATGCAAATCAGTTTTTGCCTGTGCGTCAAATTGACAACGAAAATAATTTTACGCGCCATTATGTTTAATTAAACAGCCGGAGCAACCAAAGCGCCGCACACAAACACACACAGAGAGAGAGAGAGAGAGAGAGAGAGAGGGGGAGTGGGAGTGGGAAATATATATACACACACACACACACACTCTGTCTCTGGCTTGTTTATGTATTTTGTGGCAGCAGAGCTCAGAGCTCGACTAAAAACAACCACAGCAACTACAACAACCAGAGCAACAACAACAACAACAACAACAAGAGCAACATGAACGACATAATGGTAATGAAATTTCCATCAGAAATAATTTCTTATTAATTTGCGCAAATTGCATTTAATTACGTTGAGCGCAGCAGCAGCGGCGCCGACGGCATAACGGAAATCCAAAATACGCCAACCATTTCAGTCGCTCCCACTGCCGACGGCTTCATTCATTCACTCCTGCTCACTCGCACTCGCACTCGCACTCGCACTCGCATTCGTACTCGCTCGCACCTTCGTTCAGTCTCTCGCCTTTGCACTCTCTTTGAATTGCTCTCTTTGCTTTAATTAGACAGACGCTTTGCCTGAGCTTTGGTTGGTGGCAGAGCTGCTCATACACATACATACACACACACACACGCATATTGTAACGATAATTCTAATTATAGCCACGGGCACTAATTGAATTTTATTTCTACGTCAATCGCTGTTCTAGTTGTTGATGTTGTTGCTGCCGCTTGCTGCTGCTGCTGCTGTTACGCCATTTTGTTTGTCTAACTGTCTGTCTGCCCCTGCTCCTGCCTCTGCCTCTGCTAGCCTCACGCTTTAGCCGTCTATCTCGCTCTGGCGCTGTGTGCGGCTGTTTTCATTAACAATTTTGGCTGGGCGGCCATTTTGCTTTTTTGTTCAGCTTGATGTCTCTCTCCCTCTCTCGCTGTCTCCCATCCTGCCGCTGTTCTTCAGCTCATCATGGCTGCGTAATTAAGCTCATTCAGTTTTCCAATTATGTTGCATGACCTTCATTTCGCTCTTGTTGTTGTTGCTGCTGTTGTTGTTGTTGGCGCCTGTTTAGACACTCGCCATTTTGTGCCTGATTAAATTAACGCTCATCTCCTCGACTGCGTTTAATTGCCTTCTGCGCGATTTGCTGTTTAATTAACTGACACCTTCTTTATGTTCGCCTCCTCTTTCTTTTAGGTCTGGTTTCAGAATCGACGCGCCAAGTGGCGTCGCCAGGAGAAGTCGGAGAGCCTGCGCCTGGGCCTGACGCACTTTACGCAGCTGCCGCATCGCCTGGGCTGCGGCGCATCCGGCCTGCCCGTCGATCCGTGGCTCTCCCCGCCGCTGCTGAGCGCGCTGCCAGGTGAGTCACGAGATATGATAACCGAGTGAGGAAGAGAGACTCATTTGAATGATTGTTGGTTTCGCAGGTTTCTTGTCGCATCCGCAGACCGTTTATCCCAGCTATCTGACCCCGCCGCTGAGCCTGGCCCCGGGCAATCTGACCATGAGCAGTCTGGCTGCCATGGGCCATCACCATGGGCCGCCACCGCCACCGCCACCGCCGCCGCATGGGCCGCACAGCGGTCAGCTGCCGCCGCCGCCGCCGAACGGGCCCCAGCCGCCGCCCCCACCCCAGCATCCGCATGCGCACGCCCTCGCCGGCCACCATGCGGTGCCGCTGTCCCATCTGTCGCCGCACCTGTCACGCATGTCACCGCATGCAACGTCGCTGACGCCGCTGCCCCCGGCGGCGACGACAGCGACTGCTTGCTCGACCACCTCGTCCTCGTCCTCGTCGCTGGAGTGCAGCGGCCCAGACGTGTGCATGTCACCACAAAACCTCAGCATTTCGAATGCCGACTCCAACGGGGATCTGCGCGACTGCAGCGACGCCGATGCCGGCAGCGGCAACGGCGCCGGCGGCCACGGCCTGGAGAAGTGCAGCAACGAGCTGCTCGACGTCGGCCGGGAGAGCCCTCCGCCCACATCCTCCTCGCTGGCCCTCAAGCGCGCCTCAGCTGGCACGCCGCCCTCGGTCGACATGCGCAGCAACTCGATTGCCACGCTGCGCATCAAGGCCAAGGAGCATCTCGATAATCTCAACAAGGGCCTCGTCTCCATGGTCTGAATGGTGCAGCAATTCTCACAAGTTTAACCCGAAGCATTAGGCCTTAGTTCTTCAATCACAGAGATTTATTATATATAATCATAAATGTTTAGTTGCTTGAGAGTTTTAGTTTAGAGAATTTCATCGTTGTAATCTAATTTCTATTAGAACAGATCAGATCAGAGCAGAGCAGAGCAGAGCGGAAGTCCCAGTGAGTAAATGGTCTTTTAAATCATCAAAACAAATCAAATAATAATAGGATTTTAATGTGCATATAGAGCTATTTGTAACGTCTCTCTAATTCCTAAAGACAAACACTAACTATAATAATAATGATAACTATAATAATACTAATGAATAACGAATAATGATTAATGATTAACATGTATGTATAAAACAACATCCTAATCCCACTTGCATATTAGCACAAAATACAAATAAATAAACAAGTTTTAGCTCACATCGAATCGTTGCTGTTCGTTGGGGAGGGAGAAAAGAAAATCAAGCTGGAAAGGGTTTTGAGATCTTACCTGACTGAATATTGAAACCTCTCAATATTCCGTTTGTATACCTTACCTTTCATTTGGCCAAAATCTGGATTATATCAGTACTCAGGCGAAGGGAACTCAGACTTTTCCCTAAGCTCTCAGACAAGAACGTCTTGTGTGAAGTGGGACAACTTAATAAGCCGCCCTCGCACTTGCATTTCGAGCTGCCGCTATATGCGAACGCGTATCAGCTGTGTTAATCAGCTGTCGAAAACTCATTAATGACTAAATTAATAATCAGAGAACGAAAACGAAAACGAAAATGGGAAAAGGCTGCGAAGCACTCGAAAGGAGCATAAACAAATTGAAAATGCTGACAAGCGGCAATTAAATGCAATTAAAAAGGACTAAATGCACAGCAAACAAAAGGCGCATAATGACACATAATTGAGCAAGGAACAAGAGCGCGAGCCAGAGAGGAGAGAGAGACAGCGCCAATGCCCCACTAGGAATGTTATAAAATAATGTATGAATTATAATTGATTAACGCCGCGCACAATTAAAATGCAAGCACGGCCCAAACAACTCGAATATACTAGACAAATACCATATCTCACACATATATCTATACACATGTGTGTGTGTTAACAATGGCAAACAGGAGCTGCACAATGATAATTGCCAGCAATTACACTCTGTGTGCTTATCACACGCACAATATCTTTGGAGAGACTAGCAGGGCATAGCCGACTGCTTGATACGCGCTCATGGTATATGATAAGGAATTTAGTTCGTTTTCCCAATTGCCATGGCCACAATAAATTGTGGGATATAGAGAGTCAGCTTAAATATTCCATACAGAGAGATCAAGGGAGTGTAAAGCCAATATACTCCGTTTCTCACCTGCCAAGCGCGTATACAAATCTCGCTACGAAGTGCTTTAAATGCAAAACTATACTCTATATATGTATATGTATGTATATACGTATTTATGTTATAGCACAACCAACTATCAGGGGAAATAAGCGAAATAGGGAATTGGTCTAGAAGCAGAATTTCATGTCCAGCAGGGGTTGCAGTTGGTTTACTTATTTCAAGGCAATTGCAATCGTTTCAAAGTAATTTATTTCATATTGGAGTAGTGCACGGCCAGAGTGGAGAATATTAAATGGAAACAAATGCAGGTTTACACTACTATATACTTAAAATTTTTATTAAATGCCAATTACTTAGCTCAGTTATTATATAAAGACAAAGCTGGCAGTTAAATATAAAATATAATATATTAAATTGAATATATTCTACTCTTTGTTGAGCTGACTTCCAATAAATATCAAATGTAGAATAATATAAAAATTTCTGTTATAAATGTTCATTTTCAACTGAATTAATATTTTGTCTGTAGTAGGTGGCGCCATCTATGAGTCATAATTCATTTAATAAAGCGCGCACCTCTTCAACTGCTTGCAGAAGCAAGCAGTTCATTAAGCTCTTAACAAATTATGCTAATACACCCACACTTTTATACACTCACTCTTAATAATGATCTCTGAGCATTTCTAGTCATAAATGCGCTAGTAATGCTCACTAATATGCATGCACCTCATTTTCAGACCATGTCATTGGTCCAGCGCTGCTGCTGTCCATAAAACAGCGAGAACTCTAAGCATTTCTCTACTCAAATGCGCAGGTAATGCTCACTAATGAATGCAGCCTTTTTCAAGCCACGCCATTGGTCCAGCGCTGCTGCTGCTCATACAACACTCTCACCGAATGGCCTTGAAACTAATTTCTGTACAAGCTCCCACTGCAAGAATTTATGTCAAGGTGCTGCTCTACGCTGCTCGCCTGGTACTTTTCGGGGCTTTGCCTTCCAATTGGACTTGATACGGCAAATAAAGGCTGCTGGGCAACTGCGTAGTGAAAATGTCATGATATATATATATATATATATATATATATATATATGCAACTGATTTATGATCAGCGCTGCTGCTGCCCATAAAGCCGCGAGAATATTAACGAAAAGCAACTGAGCATTTCTAGTCATAAATGCGCTGGTAATGCTCACTAATATGCATGCACCTTTCCTTCAGCCCACGCCATTGGCTGATCGATTCTGCGTTACTCAATCGCATGACCTTGAAACTAATTTCTGTGCAAACTCTCCCTATAAGAATTAATAGCAGGCTGCTTCACTAAGCTGCTCGCCTGGTATTTTTCGGGGTTTTGCGTTTAAACTGGACCTGTTTAATGGTAAACAAAGTTGCTGCAACTGAGTTTATGGATCTCTAAGCAATTCTCTACCCATGCTCACTAACATGAATGCGCTTTTTTTCAAGCCACGCCATTGGCTCGTTGCTGCTGCCTATACAACATGAATCTCTCACCGAATGGCCTTGAAATCGTTTAGAGTGTCACCGCGATGCACTCAATTGGTTGACCTTGAAAATGAAATTTTCAAGGAATTTCTGTCGACCAGCTGCTCTCCGCTGCTCGCCTGGTATTTTTAGGCAATTTTACGTTAAAATTTGAAATCTTGGATGCCATCCGCTGCATCGTACTCACAACGGGACCTGTATGTGATGC